AAAAGGGCGTGGTCCCGTCTCTAATAGGTTTAATGTGCATATCTCCTAAACCGCTAATGCTATAATAACAAAATTCATCCCAATAGACTGACGTATAGGTATAATCACGTATTTTATGTAGGTACTTGTATACTTAGCATCCCCCAACAAAACTAGCTCATGGCTTATATAGCCTTGTGTATGTAACTGCCGGCGAAAATAATCTTTGCCCGAATCGGCTAAATAGCTAGAGCGGGCCCTGCGCGCACTGCTCTATATGTAAGTTAACACATAAGAATTGCACACAAATCATACAAAAAACTTGCACTGCACTTATCTTTACCTATTTGCTAAAAACATATTCCGCTGACGCATGAGTTCAGTGGTCTGACCACTTTAGTCAGCTGCGGCATCCTGATATTTGACTATGCCGCTAATGTCTACGTTATCGCTTATGCTGAGTCGGCTTGCCGGCTGTAGCTTTGTAGCTTATGGGTCCAACTTTTAGGTTTAGCCTTAAATCCAATTTTGTAACACAATCAGTTTTGTATTTTGACTCTCAATAAACTCATTAACTTACACAACGTTTGGAGTTGTGTAAAGCAATAAATAAATAAATTTGTATGCACAAATATGCGTATGACCTTGCAAAATAAGTAATGCATACACAAATATACATACATATAAGCGTACAAATGTAAATATGTCAGCCAATAGGAAAAATACAAACGTTGTTATACAAAAACAACAATCGTCTCAAATAGCATGAGCAGCCTCTAAAATCAATATGGCAGCCAAATTAATAAATCCTAAATTTGTAGTAAACCACACAACAATAACATTTTCATTCATAAACGCTGGCGTACATGCAATAAGCTAAGTCGTTTCATTCATAAAAGCAAACGCCTTACACATCTCTCCGAGCATGCGTTTGCCAACAAGCGTTTTTTCGCGACGATGGCAAAAGCTAAAAATCATAAATTGAACAATTTTCTGATGTTCCTTCTGAACGGGAAAAGTGACAACCCACAAAACACAGAAAAAAGTGGCAACAAAGATTTTGTCGATTTAAAATATTTTACAAATCTAAAATATTTTTCCGTGGCTCTCAAAAATCTGCGTCATTATGTATGAATGGTCATATATTATATAAACATATTTACATATTTACAATGATTTGTTGGCAAAGCTGTTAGAGCGGCAAGGGAACCTATGACAATCGGCGAGCATTCGTTTAATTTTTCGGCAGATCTCGGATTTTCTACCAACAACATAATGTTGTGACACTTTGTCGTCGCGGCAGTCCTTCGACACATTGACATTTTGACATGAAAGCAAAAAACGTGAACTTCGGTCATTGGTTGACCGTGTCGACGCAGATTTCATATGAAGTAATGAGTGTACAAATCTACATTCATATGTTGTTTGTAGACAAATTTACAAATATTTTTCTTTCATATTTCTTTACATGTACACATGATATGAAAATACCGACGGCAAACACACAATTCTGTACTTTTGTGACTCCATAATGGTGTCAAGTACGTGACTTCCGCTTTTCTGCTCTTCATTCAATGCTTTATAAAAAGTGTTACAGTGATCGGATTTAGTTAAAATATGCGCCGTTTTGTTCGATGATCTGTTTCCATCTAGACGGCAACTTCATAATACCTTCCTCGTAGAAGCCCCCCTCCTTATTTGCGAAGAATTCGGACAGCCACTTTTCACAAGCCTCTTTTGAGTTCAACTTCACACCACCAAGGGCATTCGCCATGGACAGGAACAGGTGGTAATCACTTGGCGCTACGTCTGGGCTATATGGTGGATGCGATAAAACCTCCCATCCGAGCTCCCGTAGCTTCTGACGAGTCATCAACGAAGTGTGTGGTCTGGCGTTGTCCTGGTGGAACACTACACCCTTCCTGTTTGCCAATTCTGGACGCTTCTGGTCGATCGCCTGCTTCAAGCGGTCCAGTTGTTCGCAGTAGATGGTAGAATTAAGCGTCTGGCCATATGGGAGCAGCTCATAGTGGATGATTCCCTTCCAATCCCACCAAACACACAGCAAAACCTTCCTGGCCGTCAATCCCGGCTTGGCCACTGTTTGGGACGATTCACCGGCCTTCGACCACGACCGTTTTCGCTTGATATTGTCGTATGTGATCCATTTTTCGTCGCCAGTCACCATCCGCTTCAAGAATGGGACGAGTTCGTTCCGTTTCAGCAGCATATCGCAGGCGTTGATTCGGTCCAGAAGTTTTTTTTGCGTCAAATTATGCGGCACCCAAACATCAAACTTTTTTTTGTATCCAGCCTTCTGCAGATGGTTCTAAATGGTTTGGTGACTAACTCCCATCTCCTGGGCGATGTCACGAGATACCATATGGCGGTCTAACTCGATGTATTCCATGATTTGATCGGTATTTGTCGTCACAGGTCTTCCGCCGGCTGGCTTATCCATGGTGTCGTTTTCACCGGCTCTGAATCGTCGAAACCATTCCTCCGCGGTTCGAAGTGATAGAGTACCATCCCCCAAAACACCATTAATCTCACGGAACGTTTCTCTAGCGGATTTGCCTTTAACGAAGGAAAACTTTAAAATAGCGCGAATTTCGGCGTTAGTGAACTCCATGTTTACACGTCTGTAACTGTTGAACGCAATATCCAAACTAATCATGCATAGCGTTGTTTTGTAGGTTATGTCAAGACCTTTCAAATTATGTATAGTGTTGCCAGATACGAGCTCTGTAGCGCTTTGTACATAACCGCGAAATTCAAAAGACAAAAAAGCGGAAGGGAGATACCTTCCAACCTTATATATCAAAATATTTGTAAATTATTACTAATAACTCATAATAAAGTAAAAATGAATTAACATAAAATAATTTAAAAAGTAATAAATAATAGTTCAATAAAAGGTAATATATTTAAAATGGCATATCAATATTCCTTGTTTGGCATACGTATTATATTCTCTTCGATATTCGCCGGTTGAGCATGCTGTATGTGTACAGATTGCCCGCTGTTATAAAAGCGAGAAATGTTATTTGTTTCTCCTGTGTGTGAGGTGAATTCCCCGACAGAAATTTTGCAAATGTTTGCTGTCGAACCTGCACCTTCTCGTTATTCTAAGTTCTTTGGTTGAATATTACATACTCATATATCTGCGCATACATATGTAAATCTGTATGTCGTGTATGGCGAAAAGATTGCATAAAGACCGAAAACACAAATGTGTTATGTATGGCTACTTTTAGGCTGAGAGCGAAACAATAGAAAAATGAAAATTCTGACATGAAAGTGAAATTTTGATATTTTTCGTGGTGAAGCCGAACGTCAGGATTTTACCTAACTCAATATCCAGGTAAAATTTGACAACTTGTAAATATGCATTCACGAAGGGAGGAACTAAAATTGAAAACATAATAAAATAATTCTTTAGTTAAATTCAATTTAATAGTTTTATGATATTTGTATTCTATTTAAAGGGAATCATGTAGAATGGCTAGTTTTAATAATGAAGATATAAAAATAAAGGAATAAGATTTATTTAAACACCAAAAAATGTCTTGATCAATGTAATGTTTGTCCAATGTTTTGGATATTTTACAAGTCTCACTCAAGAAGGCTATAGAATAGCTATAAAAAAGTTGACTTATAAGCGGAATTTTGGAAAAGTTAGTTCCAGAAGAAATAAGGGGCTAGGTTTAAAAAAGATCATTATGAAGCTTGTAATCAATATATAGCCCGTCATTGATGAAATTACACAATTTCTTTAAACGGGCTTCTCAAACATAAATATCCTCAAAAGATTCGTTCAAATCTTCATATTAGATATTATAGAAAAAGCTGACATACTGACTAAAGTTGTCAATCAGTAAAAACCCCATATAAGAAAGGAATTTTCTAGTTTCTAGCTATAGTTTCATTATCCTTCAAGCGGTAATGCGATGTTGGTGTTGTTGTTGTAACTGTTCCCTAGTCTCCGCTTGGGTGATAAGTTATAGTTTGGTTGTCGTCGAGGTCATCTAACAGAAGGCCCAGGAAACAAGCTGATTCAACGGGGTCGGATCATAGGGAAATGGGTGTTAGACGAGTTGGGTTCGTTGGGCATGCAAGGAGGTGGTTAGTATCATGCAGAGACTCTTTGCACGGAAGACATATATTTGGTAGGAGTTTAACCTGCTACAATATCCAGAACGAAGTCCCGCGACGTCGATTCGACCGTATGCAATACATTTTCGCTGATAATAATAATAATTCTCATGGCATGCACATCATGTCCTAAGTAGCTTGTCTTGGTTTCACTACCTACCAAATAAACAGTTGATCCTTACTTCCTGTGCCCCCCTTACCACACAGAGTACAATTGTTTCATTCACGGCGCAAGCATCGAAATGTCATTTGCAATGAATGTGTTCTTGGCGAAGACACCGATTTTAAGGAAAACTAGACCAAAGGTGATGGCTATTTTAATATATGATCTCATGAAGACAACTTATTTTATAATTTTATATTTTGTTATTATTTACTAGATATTATAGCTAGTTTCTAGCATCTATGATGGTTTTTTGTTCCTAATACTGGGATTTTAATCCAAAGAGAAGTTCAAGTACTTTGTTTTTCATTTTATAACTTAGTTTTTACCTAAAGTAAAGTTTTTTCGACAAATAAATATCTTAGACAATGAATAATGGTTCTAATTATAAACAAATAAAATATATTGAATAATTAGTGTTTTATTTTTCTGATATATCCAATAGGTATTTTAAGTTACGCACGCCGCTTGAAGGATAATATGAGGAAACTTTAGTACACCGTCTCACGATCATCACGATTTCAAATCGGTATGGTTGTATAGAGGAGATTCTCCAGATTAAGAAAATATATAATTATAGCCGCCGGAAACTTATAGTTTTCGAAATATTCTCATTTTAAGTTGAATATTTTAAAAAATTTATCTTGCAAGTTATCGATTTTCAGTTATTTTTTCTTATGCACTTATTGTTCACTAACCCTTCACTACATTGTTTCTACATATTTAATTAATATAAATTATTTTAATATTTGCTTTAAATAAGCATTTTACTTTTAACACAATTTTTGTTATATGCACAATAACAAATTCCGCTCACGGATTTGTAATTTTCGCGTCAAAATAAGACGATTTAAAAAAATTTTATTTTTGAGGCCTCCTTAGTTGGGGGACCTAAACTATATATTTACCCAAAATAAATCCATGTTGACAAATAATAAACTTATTAAAAGTTGAAAGTTCACAAATCAGATGTGTTAATATATTATATCATAAAATCACAAAAAAGAATTTAAATAGTTTCCTCATATCTTTCTCTGCCTTTGTCCTGGTAATATTCCAGATTTATCACTGTTATTTTTGATAGCTGCTGTAGACACTAAATTATTAGATGTTCGTGCGAAGAGTTCTTTTTATTATCTTTAATTTTATTATCTTCTAATCTCATGTAGATAAATACATATTTATGTATATATGTATATATATTCATACAATTAGCTATGAGAGGTTTGTTATATCTGCTAAATCTGAGTAGTGTCGTATTTAGTGTTAATAATGAAACTTTCAGCGAACTTAAACTTTTTATTTACCGAAGGTGGTAAGCCTTTATCTGAACGCATTTTTATGGCACATGGCGCTGGGTTTAATGCTGTAGAAATACCTTTTCCAAATTTTGAATTGGAAGATGTATTGCAAGCAAAAGAATCAACTGGAATACAAATCGCACTAATTAATATTAGCTTAGGCAAGTTTTCTCCGATAAAAAATCTGTTTTTTTCTTTTCAATACTTGATAATCTTTATTTAATACACTATATTTCAGGCGATTCCAAGTTTGGTAATGCTAGTATTCCCAACAACCAAGAAAAATTTAAGAATCAACTAAACGAAACAATTGAATTTGCTAAGAAAGTGCAATGTTCAAAGTAAGTTAAAAATATGCAAACTAAATTGCCCACATATGTAATTACATTACAGGTAACATGTCACTAATTGGTATTTTAACGTATAAGATTAAGAATACATCTATCTTTATGAGAGCAGATAAGGGGAAAACTTTAGTATAACGTCCCAGGCTTTCGGGGGTAAAATGGGTATGGGCGGATAGAGGAGATCCTCCATATCAAGAATATATATAGATATAGCCGCGGGAAACTTATAGTTTTCGAGATATTTAGGTTTAAAGTTCAAAATTTCGACTATTTTAAGTACGCATTTTTCCCATTTCGAATGAGTTATACACTTATATTTTCCACTTTTATATCCACTAACACTTCACTAATTCGTTTGTACACATTTATTTTACATTATATAGTGCAAAAATAGTTTAATTAAATAATAAAATTATTGTTAAATTCTATCAATTCTGACAATAACAAAAGGGTTGCAAAATTTCAAATAACCAGTGTTACCTTATCGACATCTTTTGTAATTGAACTGAAAGAAATAAAAACAATTAATACCTCAAATACAGGAATCCAAAAGTTAGAAAAATAAAATATTAGAGAACATTGATGTTAAGTATTATGTTATACCCTCTATGACAATATTACTTGGCGGGCTTCTTTCGCGCTTTAAAAAAATAACCCTGGTCGGTCCAACACCGGGGTGTACCAAAGTTTTTGCGTTTTTTCCTGTATCTAGGGTACAATCTCTCTGTTTATTTTATTTTTCTTCGTTTACAAAATATATTAGTATGGCAACACTGATGTTTTGGCATTCACAACCATTTTGTTATTGTCAAAATTAATAAAATTGAAGAATGATTTAAATATTGAAATAAAGCAATTTTTGCAGTATCTAATATAAAAAAATTTCTAAAAACGAATTAGTCAAGTGTTAGTGGATATAAAAGAGAAAAATATAAGTGTATAATTCATTTTAAATCGCAAAAATACGTACTTTAAATAGTTGAAATTTTCAACTTTAAACGTAAATATCTCGAAAACTATAAGTTTCCCGCGGCTATATCTATATATACTCTTGAACTGGAGGATCTCCTCTATCCGCCCATACACATTTTATCCCCGAAAGCCTGGGACGTTATTTTAAAGCCGACCCGTAAATTACTTTTTTTATACTCTCGCAACCTGTTGCTACAGAGTATAATAGTTTTGTTCACCTAACGGTTGTTTGTATCACCTAAAACTAATCGAGTAAGATATAGGGTTATATATATATAAATGATCAGGATGAAGAGACGAGTTAAAATCCGGGTGACTGTCTGTCCGTCTGTCCGTCCGTGCAAGCTCTAACTTGAGTAAAAATTGAGATATCTTTATGAAACTTGGTACCGTGAGACGGTTGGTATTGCAGATGGGCGTAATCGGACCACTGCCACGCCCACAAAACGCCATTAATCAAAAACAAATAAATTGCCATAACTAAACTCCGCAATAAGATACAAGACTGTTATTTGGTGCACAGAATCACATTAGGGAGGGCCATCTGCAGTTAAATTTTTTTTGTAAGTAAGCGTGGTCCCGCCTCTAATAGGTTTAATATGCATATCTCCTAAACCGCTAATGTTATAATAACAAAATTCACTGGAAGCAAATTTTTTTAGAACCTCTACCCACAGTGTGAAAATAGTTGATATCGGGTGGCAACTCCGCCCACTCCCCATATAACGGTACTGTTAAAAACTACTAAAAGCTCGATTTTATCTCTGGGATGGTATGAGATGACTTTATAGGAACCGCGTTCAAAATTAGACAGTGGGCGTGGCACAGCCCACTTTTAGGTGAAAACCCATATCTTGAGATCTGCTTAACCAAATTCGGTACATAACATTCTTCTCATATTTCTATGTTATAGTGCGAAAGTGGGCGAAATCGGACTACAACCACGCCTATTTCCCATATAACACCATTTTCAATTCTATTTGATTCTTTCACTTTCCACTATGCATATTAAGCAACAATGATTATATCGGGGTAAGACTTTGCGTGAATAATACGTTTAAAGTATGCCACCTTGTGACCAAAATTTGTTTAAGTCGAACCAAAACTGTTCAAACCACTAAGTACTAAATATGTGGACCCCAGTGCCGAAAATATCAGCCAATCACAAAGAAATCTCAAACGAGTATACCATTTGACTTTGCGAGAGTATAAAATGTTCGGTTACATCCGAACTTAGCCCTTCCTTACTTGTTTGTTTTTAAAATAACACGGGTTGGTTTATACAATGGTCTGCAATCAGCAGCTGAAACAAAGAGTTTGTACGGACGGAGTCCTTATCTCTCTATTATATATAAAAGTTTTCTGCTGCTGTCGAGAATCAACTAACATAAGAGCGAGCTAGCTCGCGCTCGGCGGGGGGCGGTTTTACCTAGTAGTTTTACCTCCTAGTTTTACATATGAAAATAAACTAATTTTTACTCGATAAAATATTATATACTCCCTTGTTATAAACCAAATTGTCCAACTATAATCTAATTTCAACTCAACTGAAATAATATTAATTTTGATATATACATTCATTTGCTCGAGCATATATTCAGTCAGGTATAGAGCCGCTGATTCGCTTTGTCACACCGTAAACGCACTAACCTAGGGTCATTTTGCAAGAGTCGTTTAGTTGTGGTCGTTGTTGTAGCGGCAAAAGTGTGGTCATACACATCCCTGCTTATAACAAATTTCTTTTTTTTTCTAGCGATTTAACCTTTGTAATTGAATCACGATTAATGAATATAAATATATTTTATTTCAAATTCAACGTTTTTAACATGTCAACTTTTTTTTTGCTGATCTTACATGTGTATATTTTGATAAGCAGCGCGTAAAGTTAGCGAGCAGAGAACCGATGAACCCAGCACTCATTATCCTCACCTCCCCACCCGTCAAAAATTATAAATGTCTTGTTTTTTTTTAGAAATATACTGCTAAACATAAAATTATTGTGTTCCTAAAAATTTGTTAAAAATAATAGATTTTCTGTTGCAAATTTAGGCCGTTGCAAAAATGAAACTATCAGCCATCACTTTCACATACAAACGAAGTGATTCTTTGAAATCACATATTTAAATGTAGTTTTAAAACGAAAAATTGAATACGTCTGATTTCTTCTCTGCGTACATACATCAGGTTGGAGGGATAGTTTTCTTTAAAATTCCCATTTGCGGCAATTTGTGATATTTTTTAATAAAATTAAAGAAATTAGTATTATTATCGAATTAATTGGATTTTATATAAAAGGAAACAATATTTCCACAAAAATCTTAACGTGAGTGGTTATAATTGGAAACAAGAGAACAGTATTATGTAGGCATGTTTTCAATTAAGGTGTTCTGCAAATCGAATGATTTCATTTATTTCAAAATCTTTCTTTTTCACATCGAAACAGCTGTTTGAGGCAAATGACATTTATTTTCAATTGATATATAAATATTTTATTTCTCAAAAACTTAAATTTTCTCGAACTAACATCCGTGCTGCCATGGGAGTTTTGCATAATAATAACTTCGCGTAGCAGAAAATTAGAACAAAGCTTTGCAAATCAGTTTGCATTTGCTGATGTACTGTTTAAAAACTTTTATTGACTATTTTAACTTTATAGTTAATTTTGAAGCACAATTACACTTTATCTGCAACAGGGAGTCACGACCATTGGGAAAGATACGGATGTTTAATTAAGAAGAAGTACCGTGAGGAAAGTACATAGTTTACTAATAGAGCGGGCTTTGTATTGGGAATGATCTCAAGTCAGATTATTACTATAGTATTGCAGTGGCTATTGAGTTCAGTTGCAAGTTTTGTCTCCTTTCAAAATCCTTTAGCGAAATCTTTAATATTTCCCATAAAATTTAGTAGATATGTCTTCTATTTAATTTTTTTGTGTTTACTCTTAAAGAGTAGCAAACATATATTATATTATCGAATTTAAGAAGCTTTCGTTTTCAATAAAATTCACATGGTAGGTTAGGTTAGGTAATTGGACAGAGCTCGTGCTGAAATGCAACAGGCCTGCGGAGCACCGACCCAGTCACATTAGATAATGGTAAGGAAGTTCTTTGTTGCAGTTTCCAACGATTCCAATATGACCAGGCACCCAGACGAGTCTGATAATGAAGTTAGTGATGATATTGATGGCAGACACTTCTTAACTAACTTTGAGCGAACAGTGAGCGAGCTCAAAGCTAGTATTGCCGCTCTGCTGTCGGAGTGAATGCACCATTTCCCTGAAAGAGAAGAGATGCTCCAATACGCTGTTGCAACGGTCGCATACTTTTAAAAATCGCACAATGTTGCAAATGATGTTGGCGTCGACATACAAGTATGTGCTTCGCAGTGATGATAGCGTCGGTGATGGTCTCGTGTAACCACGAGGAGGGGATGCTGCTGCAGGTATAGATGCCGGTGCTGTTGCAGCGGTAGTTGCGGCTGCAGCTTGGGGAGTTAGGGTAGGATCGGTGCGTGGCACGTTGCTATCCGACCACACGGTTGACGTTGATGTCATTGGCGTATCCACGTCCATGTTAGTCGGTATAAAAGAGTTGTTTGACTATAAATATCTGTCATATACTCCACGTCTGGCTCAGATATGGCCAGAAGGGGGGCTCCTTTAAAACCTTTGAAGAAGGATCTTGCAAGAGTAACATTTGTGATTTACGGCTAGTCTTTTTTTAAGTGGATTTGCAGCTTTTACAAGGATTTCCCATAAACCATCCAAATGATGAGCGCTCAGAAAGATGCGATAAAAGCGATCTATGCTTTTTGTAAGATGAGGCACTGTATCGCATTGGGAGTATGGTAATCCCTAACCTTTATTGTTGAATTGTATTTGAGAATGTGGGTAACTATTCTGAATGCATGGGCGAGTGTACGAGCAATTGGATACATGTTTACTAAGCATAGAGTGTTTTTTTCAATCAGGCTAGAATTATTTCGTAATCGGAATATCGATATGTGCACTGTGGATACTTATTTGGCACTACCAAATAGCTAAATTCGAATTGGTGCGCAGAATGGATTTTCTGAGGCGTCGCTGAAGCAGTCTGGTTTGAATTGGTAAGGTGGGAATAGTTCGCTCAACGTAATATTTATATCTGCGAAATTGCTGTTAAATTGTGTGCAAACTGGGACGGGTTTCTAAGCGAATATGTTTCGCTTGTTCGTCCCAGTTAGTTTCGTCTAGCCATAATTCTTGTATCTTGATTTTCGGGGTCGAAAAGTTTTGCCACAGAGCATAAAATTTGGCGTTTTGTTGTGGTGGATAATGCCGATATTGACTCTGTAATGTATGAAAACTGGTCACATATCGCATTCCATTGAATCACCAGGGTTTTTGTTGTATTTTCCTATTCGAATTTAAGGAAATTAGTATCTAATAAATTTTAATTTGGTATATTTTTTAAAATATTAGGGTGGTTCGTCGTTATCTTTTTCAACGGAAACAACGCGGTTTTGAGGGCTTGACCCACTTGTGATAGTGACTCGTATGCTTGTGGAAGACTGAGACTTCCAGACAGGATATCTACATACGTTTGTGTTTTAAACATATTAGTTGCCAGAGGGAATTTTGACTTGGTGTTTTCTGCCAATTCGTGCAGTGTTCGAACGGCTAGATATGGAGCACAGTTGACGCCAAAGGTAACGGTTTTCAATTTATAGTTGACTATTGGGGGATTTTCGGAAAATAAATCGCTGAAAATCTTAATCGTCGTTATGTACGACTATTTGTCTGTACATTTATTCGACGTTTCCGTTGAATACGTACTGTGCATGATGTGGCAAGTAAAATGAGTAGTATTTGCCATTGATGATTTTCTCGCATGGGCTTACTTCCTCCATGTGGTTCAAATGAAGGTATTCTTCCAACACACCATTATATTCTGGTTTCAACTCGCCTTTTTTAAGTAGGTTTTTTTCCATACTTTGAAACTGCTCTATTGCAGAGGTGCGAGAGTGAGCTAAGGCGATTGTGTTGGGAAATTGTTGTTTTAGTGGTAGTCGTACGACATACCAACCATTATCTGATCTAGTAGTTATGGCTTTGTAAAAATCATCACAATACTGATTTTTTGGGGTTGTAAATGAAATGGGGCGGAGTTCTTCTAACTCCCAAAATTTTTTCAATTGTTAATTGAGGTACTCGTTTGAGATTTCCTCAACTTGAGTTGTCATGGTGGTAACTTGTTCCGTGACTAGTCCCACTCAGGATCCAACCGGAAATAGTATTTTGTGCCAATAGTGTGTTTGAAATTTTCTCAACACCCTTTAGTATTAACTGAGGTATGAGTTCGCTGCCTAATAGAATGTCTATTTGAGCGGGGGTGTTGCAGTTGGCATCTGCTTATTTGAGGTGTGAAATCTTTTCCCAATGCTTGCTTTATAATAATGGACATATTGTAGCTGCGCGTAAGACTATAGCTTCTGATTTAATTTTTCTATCCGCTTGGGGGGAAATTAGGGTAATGGGGCAGATTTTATTAGAGTTTTGAACTACTCTTCCGTCAATTCCTCTATTTTCAAAGTTGGCTTGTTTTGTTGGCAGTTGTAGCCTATTTTGTGCCCTAACGCTATGAAAGATCGTTGTGATCCTTGGTCTATTACGGCCCTAAGTTTAAATAGTCCTGCTCGGTGTTCGATGGAAACACCTGCTGTGGGTAGTAGTACCCTAATTTGGTTTTCGCTGTTCGCTGGGTAGCGTTGAGTTTAATGTCTTTGATCAGCATAGTGCTTCTTGGCAATTTTCGGGATTTAGCACTTCGGGATTGCTGTTGCAACTAAACCGTGGCTCTTTTATATTTGCGCTGTTTGGGGGTGAGCTGGAAAAATTGTTATAATGACGCATAGAATTATGTCGTTTATGACGCATGTGACAAGCAATTTGTACCAAGTCTGTTTGTTTTTACAAACATTTTTTTGTCGATAATATTAAATATGCCCTCCATACATAGTTCGCATGAAGTTGTGGTTGCTGCTGGTTTGAGGTCTATTGAAGCTTCGATTTAAGTCTTGTTGAACGATTTTCGTTCTGACCATTTTTTTATCTATCCCTTTTCTACGATTTCGTATTGGGTAATTAAAAATTCTTTCATTTGTTGCCACGTTGGGCATTTTTTTCGAGATGAGAGCGCTTGCTCCTACAAAAGTAACGATTTTTCTGGTAAAGCGGTGGTGCATATATTTACCAGTTTTGGGTCCAGCCCTCTGTGGGAATGTTTGTTGAAATGATTAATTGCAACACTGAACGCCATCTATAGTTAATATTTTGTACTTGTCAAAAACCTTTACTGTTGGCAACCTTACTCTGTAATCTATTATTGTCGTTTTATTTTGACAATATAATATATTCCGTCGATTTGCTCAGTAAAAAACAAAATATGTCAAAGCAAAAAAATCCTAATAACCAATTTCAGAGGAAAGGGCAACCCAAAGGGCCACGGTGCTTTGTATGTAACAGGTATGGTCACATGAGTAGGGATTGCTACTTTAAAGGCAAAACGAAGGTTCTGTCAAACAATGACAATTCAAATAACGGTTATTATGCTGCTTTTCCAGCTGCTGCTGCATTGGATGGGAGTTGCTGGTATGTCGATTCCGGAGCATCACTGCATATGTGCAATAACAAGAACTGGATGTATGATGTATCCCCATCAACTATCAACAATATTAAGGTTGCAGACAATAAAACAGTAGCAGTAAAAGGTAGTGGCAAGGTGGATTTTCAGATTAGAACCTCAGATGGCATAATACGGACAATACAGGTCAGTGATGTCTTATATGTACCCACACTGACAGTTAATTTACTTTCTGTAAGTCAAATGGTAAATAAAGGCTGTGAAGTGAAATTTGAGAGAGATAGTTGTCAGATATACCAAAATAATAAGTTAATATTGACAGCATTGCATCGCAAAAACATGTATATATTGAATAATGTTTCTGAAGCACCGGCATTGCTATCAACAGCAGATGAGCGAGATATAAATTTATGGCATCTAAGAATGGGCCATCTCAATTTCACAGACTTACAGAAGGTAACTAATAGTGCAGACGGGGTTGAATTATCAAAAAAGGTAATCAAATTTGCACAACTTGCTTAGAGGGAAAAATGAGTAGACAACCATTTAAAAATACTGGTACTAGGGCTTCAGAATTGCTCCAATTAATTCACTCAGATTTATGTGGCCCGATGGAGACAAGTTCTATTGGAGGTGCCAGATATTATGTTACGTTCATTGATGATTATAGTAGGAAAGTATCTGTCTATTTCATGAAGAGCAAGTCTGAAACTTTAGATAAGTTTGAAGAATTTAAAAATTTAGTAGAAAATGAAACCAATAAGAAAATAAAGACGTTACGCACAGATAAGGGAAAAGAATATGTAAACAAGGATTTTAAATTGTTTTTATGTAAATCTGGCACATTAAGAGAGAGAGCTAGATGCCTAATTTTGAGTTCCAGATTACAGAAAATATTTTGGGCTGAGGCGGTCTCAACACCGGCATATATAACAAATCGTTCACCAACAAAAGCTTTGGACTACAAGACGCCATATGAATTGTGGACAGGTAAAAGACCAAACATAAATAACATGAAAATAATTGGTTGTCACGCAATGGTTCATGTACCAAAAGAAAGTAGACGAAAATGGGACTCGAAAGCTACTAAGATGATATTTGTGGGTTTTTGCGAATATACTAAAGGCTACAGATTGTATGATGAGAGTAAAATACAAATATACAAGATTTATTTTCTATTTTTATTTTATATCACACGATGCACCCTGTGCAAAGTGTTTCTCTATTTCTTATCATTCCGTACTTAAATTATTCGCTTTAACTATTGTACTATTCTTGTAAGTTCTTTCTTCTCCTTTGGATCGCCACAATAAACGGACGTGTTTTAAGTTTAGCCCTGCCTTTTATTGAACATAATTTTTGGTGCCTCCTGTGAGGACTAAGAACATTGCTAACTTTGAGAGTTTTAGTTGGTGATTCTCATAAGTAAATTGTCTCGACGCTATCGTAAAGGCGATATTTGTGCATAAAGTTCAGTTTCTGCAGTACCACTGTAAAGCATAACCGCACTTTACATGTACATAAATTGGAAATGGCAGAAATAAATCTTCGCCAGTTTCATGCATCTGCAATTTCTCGCACGTTAGATCAGGTGCGCAAGGCGCACGCAGTTGAATTAGATGCATCCAAGGCTGAGCAACTGTTGAATTCGGCGAGATCACATTACTACCGCATGCTCGTAAATCACGAGGCACTCCTCAGGTTTGCGAAAGACGAAGAGTTGGAAGTACATTCAGCATGGTGGGACGTCACCGAAGAAGTGTACAACGACCTATGTTCCAGTCTTATACGCTTACGTTCGACGAAAGGTGACGAGCTTCACGCTCCTGTGGGAGGGGCAATACAGACTCGTCGGCCGAGTTGTCATCGGAGCCGTTACATATCTCATCATTTGATGGTATACATAATTGGCTGGCATTTAGGGCGTTCGAGACTTTAGTACACAACCGGAATTGCCCACCGCATACAAACTTGTAAGTTGCGTCAAGCCGTTCCTTGCCCATCAGTGCCGTTGGTTGGTGGTGTTTATTCACCACCTATATTTTTCCATACTTTGAAACTGCTGTACTAAGAGGTGCGAGAGCGGGATCTAAGGCGATTCAAAGTTAAGAAGAGTTGTTTCAGGGTAGTCGCACGACATCGACTATTTTCAATGAATCATAATTTTTGTTCAAACTGTATTTACCACGAATGATTTTATGAGGTTTTATTTTGAATGTACGCTTTTATTTTGTATGCAATCCCGTTTGTTTTTGCCAACAGTGCTGAGTATTTGCCAATGCGAACTTTGGGAATGTAATATACAACTGTAAATGAAGAAATATGTATGAATATTGCTCAAATGAATTACTTTGTTAAACCGATTTTTGTTTGAATAATGTTTAATTTAGTCATCTTGCCGTTTATCCGGGTGGGGTAAGAAGAGAAACGCAAATGTTATGCCGTAATATCATGATTAGGTTACATTCTGCAATACAGCGAAAGCGGAAGAGAAAATTGGTATTTTCCGTTGTTCCTTTATTGTTACAGGCAACATGTAATTCAATATAGCGTCGATCTGAATGCAATTATACTGTTATCTATTACGTATAAGCGGATTTGTATGTATATATGCAATAAATACGGCATGTCAATGTGCGCATCTATGTATGTTTGTATTTTTCCGCTTGCGTATTCTTTTTATTTTATAGTAATTTGTCTATGCTATTTGTTTATTGTATTGAGCGGTGGCTTGTCACATCGCAGACTTCGGTAAGAGACGCGATGCGCAAGGCCCGATCAAAAGGCTGGAAGTAATGCCGGTTTCACACCGCGTTTACAGTAGTGATCAGTCCAGAGACGGCCAAACATACCCTGCTTCAAATGACAGCAGAAGGGTTACAGCGGAAGGCCCTGCGACGAAATGCCACCGGCCCTTCTACAAGGACAGCATTACCAGCAGTAAGCCACTCAGGGTTCAAAGTTATCCTGGGAGGAAGTCTGAATGGAACATTCCGCTGGACCTACGCTAAGGGATTGCGCGAACAAGTGGTATACCATTACCGCTCGAAACGGCGGAGGAGATTGCAGAGGGTCGTGACCGCGCACCAAGTCCCACATTTCATGCGAAGTTTGCTCAGCATTTTGCAGGCTGAAGTATATGCTTTAAGTCGGTGTGTAGAGATAACTTCAACGTTATTATCGCGCAATAAGAGTATCAGCATACTCAGCGATAGTCAGGCGGCACTAAAAGCGATCTCGGCTGAGGTCAAATCACATTGGCAGTACAACAACGACTGAACAGCCCATCGCCAATAACACCCCATCTGGGTGTCTGGTCACAGGGTATAGCAGGAACGAACTGGTTGGGACGAGTTGCCTCGCACTGGCCTCCACACAAAAATGGTTGATCAGAACCGTGCATAGCGGTTGGTCCACACCATGAAGAACAGTTCCGTAAAGAGGAAAATAGCAGTGGAGAGAAGCATTGGCAACTTCTCCGCTGCATGCGCCATGCCAGTTGCTGATGGGGTACAGACCAGACGGTTCTAAAATCGCACCAATCTCCAGATAACAATTCGCTAATGTCGCGTTCTACACCGGACATTGCAGGCTCATCAGCATTTATTTAACATGCGCTTAGTTTCTTTGCAAACCGCCGGTTCAGATGGAGTCGGAAACCCAGAACACCTGCTAGTGGATTTCATAGCAGTTCGCAGACGCACGAGCGGCGGTTCTGGGATCCGTTTCCAAACAGGGACCGCATCGCTTCACTAGCACCTAGTAGTATATTACCGTCTATATGTCCAAGCAGATGAGTCTTAGACCAGGGAGGGCACCACCATGTGGTCCAAATGGAGGTATTCTTCCAACACACCATTATATTCGCTTGAGCTCGCCTTTGGCGTTAGCCGCTCAGTTTCTGAACCGCTGTATTGTGGTGATCTAAGGCGATGAAAGGCATGGGAAATTGTTGTTTAGTAGTAGTCACCGACATACCGACCATTTTCACAATGAATCATAATTTTTGTTCGTGTAACTGTATTTACTTTAAAGATATGATTTTGTTGAGGTTTTATTTTAGCCTACGCTTTTTATGCTTGTATGCAATCCTGCTTGTTTTTGCCAAAGAAAAGGAGACACAATGCGAACTTTGAGAATGCATATACAACTGTAAATGAAGAAATATGTATGAATATTACCAAATGAATTACTTGTTAAACTGATTTTTCTGAATAAATTTAATGAGTCACTTTTGCCGCCGTTACCTGGGTGTAGTAAGAAGAGAAACGCAAATGTTATGCCGTGGTATTTGTATGGATAGGTTATTCTTCTTGCAATACAGGTTTGAAAGCGAAGAGAAAATTGCAGTTCGTTGTCTTTACACAGGCAATATGTATCGAATATATAAAATATTTGAATGCAATTATACCTGTTATCCATTACGCATGTTTCGGATCAGGCGGTACGCACAACACAGCCTGTGCATCTATGTATGTTTGTATTTTTCCGCTTTGTGTATTCTTTAGTGACATTTTATAATTTGTTCATGCTATTTGTTTACTTATTGTATGGAGCGGTGGTTTTTGCTCAGCATCGCAGACCCCGGTATGACGCGATGCGTACGTGTCCGACTGCAGCACTGGAAGTAATGTCGGAGCTCACACCGTTTCATATAGTGAGTCCCGAACAGGACGGCCAACATACCGCTTCAAATGACAGCGCGCAGCGAAGGGTTGGCAAAGCGGAAGGCCTGCGACGAAATGCCATCGGCTCCTTCTGCCAAGGGACAGCATTAAAGCAGTGTTTCACATCAGGAAGTTCAAAGTATCCTTGGGAGGAAGGCGGAATGGAATGATTCCCACGGCGCTGGACCTACTTCATAAGGGATTGCGCTATCAAGCGGTACACCTACGGCTCGAAACGGCGGAGGAGATTGGTAGAGGGTCGGTGACCACGCACCAAGCTCTCCATTTCATGCGAAGTTTGCCTAGCATTCAGGCTGAAGTATATGCTTGCTTTTCCGTGTAGAGATAACCCCAACGCACCATTATCGCAATAAGAGACCAGCATACCAGCGATAGTCAGGCGGCACTAAAAGCGATCTCGGCTTGAGGTCAAATCGTTACTAGTGCAGCAGCGCATAAATGACGAACGCCCATTGCCGTTAGAATACATCCCATCTGCGTTCGGTCAAGGGGTAGCAGGAAACGAACTGGCTGACGAGTTGGCCTGCACTGCAGCTCTCCACGCAAATGGTTGATCAGAACCGAGCATAGCGGTTGTCCACACACCATTAAAGAACAGTTCTGCAAAGGAAGAGCAGGCAGGAGAGCTGGCACTTCTCCAAGGCATGCGCCATGCCAGGTTGTTGTTGATGGGGTGGTTATGACCTCAGACGGCTTAAAATCGTAATCAATCTCCAGAAATAAATTCGGCTACTGTCGCGTTCTACACCGGACACAGTTCATCAGCATTTATTTAATACGCTTGGGTTTCTTTTGCAAACTGCCGGTTCTAGACATGGAGTCGGAAACCCAGAACACCTGCGTTAGTGGACTACAGTTCAGACGGTAGAATTATGGGTTCTGGGATCCGTTTTCCAAACAGGGGATCGCATCGTTTCACAGCGTTCTAGTAAAAGAGTTGATTTTGCCCATATGTTAAGCAGATGAGTTTTTGTGGTCCCAGGGGGTACAATAGACCATAGTGTCGCGAGCATACCTCTATCTTTATTTTATCTAATCTAATCTAATATATATATACATACGTACGCATAACACGCAGAGATGAGAGTTACGGAGCGAACATATGCAGGCGACATAAATGAAAGCGGCAACATATTAAGTCGTACCAACACATAAAATAAAATAACTTAAAACAACAAAAATATACAAAAACAAGGAGGGCTAAGTTTGATGTAACTGAACATTTATGATATCTGCAAAGTCAAATGGTATACTGTTTAGAGATTTTGTGAATCTGTCGCCATGTTCTATGTTGATCCGATATTTTTGCAAAAGTCAACTATAGTACTGGGGTCCATATTAAGTACCTAGGGGATTGAACAGGTTTGTTCAAATTAGATGTTTTTACCACGAGGTTGCTTAAACGCATTATCCACAAAGTTTTACCCGATACAATCATTGTCGCTTGATTTGCATACTGGAATGTGAAAGAATCAAATGGAATTTAAAATGGTGTTATGTGGGAAATAGGCGTGGTGTTATTCGATAACCCATTGTTGAATTGTATTTGAGAATGTGGTACCTATTCGAATGCATGGATGAGTGTACGCAATTGGATACATGTTTACTAAGAACGGGTGTTTTTCCAATCAGGCTGTTAATTTCG